CGCTCTGTCACCAGGCTGGAGTGCAGTGGCGCCATCTCGGCTCACTGCAACCTCTGCCTCCCAGGTTCAAGCTATTCTCCTGCCTCAGCCTCCCAAGTAGCTGGGATTACAGGCACCTGCCACCATGCCCAGCTAATTTTTGTATTTTAAGTAGGGACAGCGTTTCACCATGTTGGCCAGGCTGGTCTTGCTCTCTTGACCTTGTGATCTCCCTGCCTTGGCCTCCCAAAGTGCTGTGATTACACGCATGAGCCACAGTGCCCAGCCTGTCTCAATTCTTTTTAAAAACTGCTTCTTCAGTTCCTCCCCTTCACCCCATCACCTTGGCCATGCCACCATCACCTGTCCCTTTGGCAGCTGCCAGCTTTCATACCTCTCTCCCTGCATTCCCTCCTGTAATCCGCTCCTCCTCACAGATGCCAAAGCGATCTTTGTAAAAATAAATCTGATCACATCACTCCCCTTCCTGCTGGATTTAGGCTTAAGTCCAAAGTCCTAATGTGGCCCTGTGAAGTCTGGCGCCTGCCTCCCTCCTCAGCCTCCTCCTCTTGCTTTTATGCTCCTGCCCGACTGGCCTTTCAGCCTCCAAATGGCCAAGGATTTGTCCCCAAACCTTTCACACTTGCCATTCTTGCTGCCTGGAGGCGCATCCCCTGCTCCTCACCCGCTAACCCTGCTAACTCTTATTCATCTCCAGGTCTGGGTTGGTTGGTTTGTTTGTTTTTGAGATGGGGTCTTGCTCTGTTGCCCAGACTGGAGTGCAGTGATGCGATCTCAGCTCACTGCAGCCTCTGCCTCCCGAATTCAAGTGATCCTCCCACCTCAGCCTCCTGAGTAGCTGGGATTACAATGGTGTGCCACCACGCCTGGCTAATTTTTGCATTTTTAGTAGAGATGGGGTTTCACCATGTTAGCCAGGGTGGTCTTGAACTCCTGACCTCAGGTGATCCGCTGCCTTCCCTCCCAAAGTACTGGGGATTACAGGCGTGAGCCACCATTCCTGGCCCAGGTCTGGGTTTAAATGTCACTTCCAAACAGTCCTCCCCTGCCCCCTAATCTAAAATAATCCTTCTCCTAAGATGATCTCATGAATCCTGTGCTTTTCCTGAATAGCATGTACACAGATGATGGCACCAGACTGAGCTGTATGGGTATTAGGCTGTAAGTTCCGTGGAGCAGGGGTCACCTCTGTTTTGTAAACCATTGTACACCCAGCACCTAGCACTGTGCATGGCATGCAGAGGCTCAATAAACATTTCTCTAATGAAGGCGTGATTGGACCTGCCTCATCTCATCTGTTCACTCATTTTGTAACTCCATGTCTTGGGCCTAACAGACCTGGAGATGCAAACGAGGTCATATTTACAATGATATCCAGGTTCCAGTAGCTTTATTCACTGCCCTCAGACTCTCCTCCGGTTACTTCCGAGAGGCCGAGAGAAGAAAGCTGGTGTCTTACACGTTCAGGCACCAGTATACTCAGGCTTCCTGCTCCGGTGGTGTTCTGTCGCCCTACACATCCTCTGCTGACAGTACCTACCCAAATGCTGCGGACCCACTACGCACTTCATTTATGTGCTGGTGAATGGCCCCGATCCTTCAGGACACCAAATCTGCCCTGTAGCCCACCTGACAAAGAGACTGGGGAAGAGGTGGAGTGCAGAATGATCTGTGCCCAATTCTGAGAGGCGCGGCTTAGACCCTGCCTCCTCCAGCATCTTCCGTGAGCTGCTCAGCCAAGCCCTTCCTCCATCAGACAGAACAGGGGTACCAACCCTTCCCTCCATCATTTCTTTTTTCTCTTTCTCCCTGCTGCCTCTTTCTCCTTTAGCTCAAAAGGAGGGGAATGTACCTACACGCCATCGTTAGCTCCCAACTAACCCGAAGCACAACGGCCCACACTGGGGACAGATTAGCGTGGTCAAAATATCCAGTTTGCTTTGTCTAAAGTCAACAGTTCAGCCTATCCATACTAAGCCACGGGTGTCCCCTGTACCATGCCATTTGTGCAGTAGGTACCCCCTAGAAGCCCAGTAGGTGTGTACCCACCTGTTTGAGTTTTGCTGTGATTCATTCATTAAATCAACAAATACTTACAAAGCACCTCTTCAGTGTCAGACACAATCAGCCACTGCGTCCGTCACATCTCTCAACTCTGTCCCTTCTCTGCACTCATTCCCCAGCCACTGCCTTACTTCAGACCTCTCTCACTGCTTTCCCAGGTGACTGCAGTAGTCTTCAGTGCTGGTCTCCCTGCCTTCCTGGCTGGCCCACTGTAATCCAGCCTCCAGGGCAGCCAGGGAGATCTTATTCACAAACAGGCTGATGACATCAAGCTCCTGCTCAAATCCTTCAGGGTGCCCCATACCTTTCAGGCTGGAGTTTAACCTCCTTAGCTTCACACTGAAGGCCTTTTATGATCTCCCTGCTGCCTTGTTTGTTCATCCACATCTTCTACCTTTCCAGTCCCAAACACCCTTTACTTCAGTCCCTTAGAACTATTTGTGGTTCCCAGAATGAGTCATGTTTTCTCAGACCTCTGAGTCTCCTACATTGTGTTCTTTTTGCCTGGAATCCTTTCTCCCAGTTTTGTCTAGACAAATGCTATTAGGACTTTCTGTGATGAGAGAAAAGCTCTGTATCTGCTCTATCCAATGTGACAGCCACTAGCCACATGTGGCTACTGAACACTTGGAATGTGGCTAATACGAGTGACTGAAATAGCCACGTGTGGCAAGGGGCTGCCTATTGGGCAGCACAGGTCCAGACAACTGTTACTTACTTTCAAATCATTAGCTCAGGGCTCCACTGGGAAACCATTCCAACATTATGGTTGACATAAGTACCCACCCCCAGTTATATTCCTGTAGTACCCTTGTTCTCCCTCTGACCCAATACTCAGAACACCATTGTCAGTGATTCACTGGTCTGCCTCCTCCACTAGACCGAATGTTTTTGAGGTCAAAGGCAAGTAGTGCACTCAATAAATGGTTGACACCTGGATGCAGTGGTGTCCTGGTAAAGGTTTCATAATTGGCTCTCTCTGAAAGGAAGCCCTGACTTGTAGTATTTGCCAATTCTGTGGTGTAAACACTCCCACCATATGCCAAGAGAATGAGAAGACAAATCACAGACCAGGAGAAAATATATACAGAAGACGTATCTGATAAAGGACTGTGATCCAAAATACACAAAGAACTCTTTTAAACTCAACAATAAGAAAATAAATAGCCTGACTTAAAAATGGGAAAAAGACATGAACAGACAGCTCATGGAAGAAGATACAGATAGCAAGTGAAGAGATAAAAAGATGCTCAATATCATGTCATTAGGAAAATGCAAATTAAAACAGTGGAACGTCACCTCACACCTGGAAGAATGCCCCTTATATAAAATGCTGACAACACCAAACGCTGGTGATGATGTGGAGCAACAGGAACTCTCATTTATTGAAAGTGGGAAGGCAAAATGGCACAGCCACTGTAGAAGAGAATTTGGCAGTTTCTTACAAAACTCAACTTAATCTTCCCATAGGATCCAGCATTCATACTCCTTGGCATTTACCGAAAGGTGTTAATAACATCCACACAAAAACCTGGACATGGATGTGTATAGTGGCTTTATTCATAATTGCCAAAACTTAGAAGAAAGCAAAATGACCTACAATAGGGGAATGAATAAATCAACTGGTACCTCCGGACAATAGAATAGTATTCAGAAAGAAATGAGCTACCAAGCTATGAAAAGATGAGAATCCTTAAATGTATATTATTACTATTATTATTGAGGTGAAGTTTTACTCTGCCACCTCAGCCAGAGTTCAGTGGCGCGATCTCAACTCACTGCAACCTCTGCCTCCCTGGTTCAAGCAATTCTTCTGCCTCAGCTTCCCAAGTAGCTGGGATTACAGGTGCCCACCACCATGACCAACTAATTTTTTGTATTTTGAGTAGAGATGGAGTTTCACCATGTTGGCCAGCCTGGTCCCAGACTCCTGACCTCAGGTGATCCACCCACCTTGGCCTCCCAAAGTGGTGAGATTACAGATGTGAGCCACCACACCCAGCCCGTAAATGCATATTGCTATGTGAAATAAGCCAATATGAAAAGGCTACACGCTGTACGGTTCCAATTACATGACATGCTGGAAAAGGAAAAACTAGAGAGGCAGTAAAAAGATCAGTGGTTGGAAGGGTTGAGGGTGGGAAGGATGGATATGCAGAGCATGGGGGATTTTTTGGGCAGTGAAACTCCTCTGTGTGATGCCACAACAATAGACACATGGCATGACACATTTTTCAAAACCCATAGTATGCACAACACGAAGAGTGAACCCTAATGTAAACTATGCATTCCGGGTGATTATGATGTGTCAATGTAGGCTCAACAATCGTAGCAAATATACCACTCTGCTGCAGGATGTTGACAGTCGGGGAGGCTGTGCGTATGTGGGGACAAGGGGGATATGGGAACTCCCTGTATCTTCTGTTCCATTTTGCTGTGATCCTAAAACTGCTGGGAAAAAAAAAATCTACTTAAAAAAGAACAACTCCCACCATGGCAGATTTCGGACTACCAACATGACGTCATTGAACTCAGAGTTGGGAAGAGATGTGCACAATTGTTTTTCACAGGCAGATAGGAGCCAGCCCCAGCACACCACCACATGATTGAATGAATGAATGAATGAATGAATGAATGAAACGTGCCAGACACTGGGAATACCAGGGATGCTGTCAGGCTCTTTAGGGAGAAGTCTATTCAGACCTGCAAGAGCTGGGCATGCAGCTGCTAGTCCGATTTCAGTTCCAACTGAGGAGATAAAGGATCAGGGAGTCATATCTTTGATTTAGTCAGTAAATCATCAAGATATAGGACATTTGTTTTCTTTGGGTCCCTTACCTTTAATACCAAGACTTGTCAAGGCATTTATTCAGTGCCCCAC